TCTTCCTTTTATATTGAAATTAACTTAAAAGAATTTTGAATAAGCTTAATAGTCCTTTAACAACAAGCATTCTGAGAGTATTGCATTAGCAATACTAGTCCCCTACCGGCAAGTGTAATCTGGTACCCGTTAAAAATTGAAAATACCATAATTCCATCAAAAATCAATAAAGCGGAACGAAATTCAAACCTGACCTGTAACTCATCAAGGTAAAGTCACATATCAAAAATCAGCTCAATATCTGCAAGCGTTTAGAAAAAAATGCGGAAAACCAGGTGGGACAGACTGACAGACAGACAGACAGAGAGACAGATAGACAGACTGACAGACAGACAGACAGACGGACGGACGGACTCAGAAGAAACCTATACTTCCCTCCGGTTTCACGGTAGGGGACTAATAACTTCACATGGTGCAATATGTAGAAGGTAGAACGGAACAAAATGCTTGATCTGTAACTAATCAAGATACACTCACATACCAGAAATCAGATCAATATCTACAAGCGTTTAGAAAAAAAGTGCGGAAAACCAGGTGGGACAGACTGACAGACAGACAGACAGAGAGACAGATAGACAGACTGACAGACAGACAGACAGACGGACGGACGGACTCAGAAGAAACCTATACTTCCCTCCGGTTTCACGGTAGGGGACTAATAACTTCACATGATGCAATATGCAACGATATTGGCTTGTTAAATACAGTAATAACTGATTGTTATTATTATTGACTGATTGATAATAATGATATTGACTTATTATTATTATCATAATTACTTTCTTGTTTAATACTGAAATCTGACTGGTTTAGACACAATAACCAATTTGTGATGTTATCCCCAGCATAAAAAACTTTTTGGCAATGAGTAATGTAACGATACTATTGCATTCATGTAATTTATGCGTGTACGGTTTAACATGGATTTTTCAAAATCAGTATGAACCGAAAAACGTTCCCAAAAAGTATGTTAGATAAAGCTTGCATCTGAGTAGTGAGTATTAATTATCTTCCCATAGAACTCTATACAAACCGTAGGACCTCTCATTATTTTACTATTGCAATTTCGACAAATTCTTCACATCGTTTAAAGCTTTGTTTAAAAATACTGAAAAAATATGAAGTCCCATATGACATCAGAAGGTCAAATTTGCAGGTATTTACAACGTACTGCGATAAGCAGTAAATGACACTCTACATGTACATCTAATTGTCAACCCACTCCTGCAATTCCTACTGTATTTTTATACGCCCGTCTTTAGACGGGACGTATTATGTTATGGCGTTCATGTCCGTCTGTCTGTCCGTCTGTCCGTCTGTCTGTCTGTTAGCTTTTCTCGTGTCCGGCTCATAACTTTAATACTATTAGGCCTAGGATTATCAAACATTGTCAGCTGATACTTCTTGGGTAGAAGGTGTGTCGCGCACTAAAAGTAGGTCGCTCTGACCTTTAATTAAGATGCTATGGCCAAACATGGAAAAATCCTGTCCGGCTCATAACTAGAAAACTGTTAGACTTAGAATCATCAAACTTGGCCAATTTATGCATCTTAGGTAGAAGGTGTGTCGCGACCTATTTCAAGGTCACTATGACCTTTAATTTAAGTGAAATTTAAAAATAAAACTGTCTTTTTACTATTAGATTACACAATCCCAAAAAATGCAAGAGTATTGCAGTATCCTTATTAAAAATATGTTAAATCAAGAAAATACTTATTTTTTTCATTATATACATGTACTTTACAGCAATCTATAACAAATGTTATGTTACAAGAGAAATTCCACCACTCCCATGGGTGTAATTATCAAGCACTGGTCAAGGAGAATTTGATAACAGAAAATTGCATGTCAAATTAGAGAAAAATTCATGTGTTGAGTGTGAGGAGCTAACTGGTAGAGCATCTCTGATCAAGCAGGTGTTATCTATATCTCTTGGAAACTGGGTAAAAAGAATCAACCCTGTTGGATTAAATAGTTGGCTAGCCTAACTTTGAAAATGAATTTGTTGAAAAGTAATTAAAACTTATTTGATATTGTATAATAAATTAATTTGATATTGTATAATAAACTAATTGATATTGTGTAATATAATTAGAACTAATTATACTTGGGGGGGGGGGGTATTGGAATCAGCATGCCCGTTGTCTGTATGAATTGCAGCTTAAAACCAGTCTGACATTAAATCTAAAAATAATCAAGTATTTATAAAAAATGTTTTCATTATGGTAGATAGTCCCTACAAATCTAAGAGTAATGCAGGAACCTTATTAAAAATATTGCATCAAGATTACACAAGTTTTTTTTTCTTTTTATAAATGTTTGTAACAAATCAAAAAAAAATCTTTGTTTTCAAATTTAATATCAGAATGACATAAATATGCATTTTTATTGCACTACAAAGCAGATACCGGTAGTATGTATAGATCCATTCATCCGTTGGGAGTAATGAGTGGACATGCATCCAGTTAAAAATTAATTAATGAGTTCAGTGTAGGAAGGCTAGCTGTCTCAACCATTTCTATTAGAGGATCTCTGATCAAGCAGCTCTTATCTGTATCCTTTGGGAATTAGACAGAACTGCTTGTCAGTTTATAGCATATGTCATTTGATGGCCAGCCTTTTATTTTTAATATTAATTTGATATAGATTTAGTTGTTAAGACTAAATTGATATTGTTTAATATGATATTTTTAATTAATTTTTTGAAAATATCAACAAATTCAGAGCATCATGTCAAACAAATCTGAAAGCTGAAAGAGGGGGGGGGGGAGGGCTGCAGATGGGCATTTGTCAAGCTCTAACACAACCAGTTGAGGATCTATAATGTAATATTTGTTATAATTAATGTCTACACCACAGGAGATGTATAAACAAATATTATGAGGAATGCAAAAATCATTGAAATCCTTGTATCAAGATTGACGTGATTTTTTTGCACTCTAAACTGTTTATGACAATTGAACAATATTTGACGGACGTATCATGCTGGGCGGGGCACTTTATTCTATTTTCTGCAATATTGACTTATTCCTTAAATTATTCAAACATCATTATTTTTCCTTCCAAATGAATGTAATTTTCACTCTGAAATCAGACAATAAGGCGACCCCTTCTTATTCAGTTCTCTTCATTACTCTATATAGTCTAACGTAAACATCCGGGGATTTGGTACACTCACTCAAACAGCAAAAAAAAGACAATTATTTTTGCCAGGTTAGAAATAATGAAATTGTTCTTTCTACTTACTTCCCTTCTAATAAACGAACAATAATAAAGAGGTCTGAGAATTTTTTTTTTTTTTTTTTGAAGCTTTGCTTGTGAGAAAAAAGAAAACGATGAAATTCGAAGACCTTTCACATAAAAAACATGATCGTCAATTTTCGATTTTTTTACGAATCTATGAGATATTCAGTATCATAGAATAAATGGTGCTTGTGATAGAGAGTAACAGTTAAAATTGACACCGTCGATTGAATTTCTCTCGAAGGGGGAGGTTCAATTTCAACTGCCATCCTCCAAAACTTGCACTTTTAATTCAATATTAATCGATTGATGATATAGACTGCTTGAAAATGAATTATATAGCTTACCTCTTATAATACTAAAATCGATTGATTAATAAGATCTAATGAGTGATCATTCAAAACTACGTGCAATGTTTATTATTACGTTAACTTTGCTTTGCTAATTTGTAATGTTTGTAACTTAAGAGTTTAATCCATATACAGGGTCATCTTCGAGTGATCCAGCACTTACTACAAATGTGTGTTGCTCGAGTAGCAGCTCCTGTGGTTCATCAAGACCACCAGGAACCACAACCGGAAATAATATCTTTGTGGACTTTCTATCTGATGGAACACCGAATTCCTATGAGAATGGATTTCAAGTGTCCTTTTTAACAGGAAAGGATGAATGTAAGGAATTGAACAAAAAAAAAATTATATATGTACACTTTCAAAAAATTAAAAACTTTTAGCTCACCTCGACGAAATCTGAAGACTTCAGTTTTTGAAGAAAGGTCCAGTTCGAAGAAATTATATGTAAATCATATAGGGATGTTGTACCTAATAGATAGTTATAAGAAGTCCTACATGAGTATTTGACATGTTTTCTAGATGAGTGACCATGTTTAAGTTTTTCCTAGGAAAACTCTTGACTAGTGACTGTAAACCTATAAAAGTAGTTTTGTATGTATGCTTCAAACCAAAACCAAACTCTCATGGATGGTGCATCTAAGAATGAATTAACACACTTCAAGATTTACTTTGCATCTGACCTATATTTTTCAAATGAGTGATAGAGTTGACATTTTTGGAGCAGGTCGACTTTTATGCACTAAACTAAAATGGATGATGCTTTTATAAATTAATTATGGATGCGCATAAAAGAGCTTGTTTTTACAAAAGAGTGACAAGGATATCGATTTGGAAACTTTATTTTTTGTGTAAGTGAGAAAATTAAAGTTTAAGTAGCAGATCCATTTTAAAAAAACTTCTATACGAAATTGCACTGAACTTACAGACGATGTGTCTAAAAAGGAAATGATGTACCTTAAGATGCACATTGACTTCTTTAGATAGAGAACGTGACTTGTATTTTGTAATTTATTTAATTATGTTTGTAATTTATTTAGTTATGATGAACTATATGTGTAAGGTTTCACTACTGGTTCTTACTCTTCATTTTTAATGAGACTTTTTGAGGTGATCTTCAAGTCTTTAATTTCCTGTAAACCATTGCCAAATTTGCTGTTTGTCATCTTCTATAAACGGATTTTCATTTTATGAAAAATATAATAAATTTAGGATACAAATATTAATAATGATATTATCAAATCTTCTTGACCTATACGTTCATTCTGAATAAAATAAAATATGTACAGGTACATGTGAAGCATATAGTTCATTTCGTATGAAAATTAAGATAAGTTCGTCTTTTCGTTATGGTTCCAAAGTATTAAATTCTCCTTGTTTCTTTTTCAGCCAATTGTGTAGTGTCAGGAACAAATAACGCAGTTACACTTACTGACGAAACACCCCTGACGTCTCCAAACTTTCCCGCCAAGTATCCACTGTAAGTATGAATTGTTTTAAGTTCAATTGAGCTGAATATTTATTTGTATAAAATGTATGCATGCATGTTTACTATTTTTCAGTATGGTTGCCTATAAACAACTCATATGTCAGTAACATATAGTAGCAAATCGCTTGCTATTGAAACACATGATATTATTTCCTCTAAATATATCTATAGCTGCAACTGCTAGAAATATAAATATCAGAATTGGCATTTTGAACCAGTTTTCATTATTCTCAAGTTACATCGAATTATCTCCCTTTGCAGAATAAACAAATTGATGAAATACCACTTTTGATAATCACCTGGTAACATGGCGGGCACATACAGGTGATCACTTTGTCTGATGATTGTTCTTCCGTCTGACCATTTGTCTTTCTGTTTTTCCTCTATCCAGAAGGAGTCACTTTTTCAAAAGAAAAAATGCAGAGCTTCCTAATTTCAAATTAAAACATCTGGATACTTCGTGAAAACACACGCCTTTTTGTTAGTAATGTACAAATATTGCACTTTGATTGATAGACAAAAAATACAAACTTTCTTCAAAAATCATGAAAATAACAACAAAAGCTATGTTTAAATGAGTCAAATGAATACGTCATGTACATGTAGATTTTAATTTTTCATTTCAAGTACTCTTGAATCATTAGATTTCGTGGTGGCTCAATATTTGAGAATTTGGTGGGTATCTCTCATCCACGAATTAATAACCTCCACGAATAAATAGTCAAGGGTTTCAAAGTCATCTTTCCTTTTGTAGATATGAGTGAATACACGAAATTACGCCAATACTAACCTGTAGTTTTTTTGCAATCTACGAAAATTAACTAATTGTAATGATTCCACAATAACATAAAAATATCCATAAAGCGATGAATAGTTGTATGGATTGAAAGGAGTGACAGCAAACGGATAGAATCTTCAACATCATAGAAAGCTTTCATTAATCTTCTAGAAAATTGATATGTGCATCATAAAATAGATCCGAAAATGTATACTAATCCGAGCACCGATTTTTTTTTTGGTTCATATGTCTCTAATGAAAAGTTAATATTTCAATCGTCTTCAAACCTTTCCTGGGATTAAAAGCTTTCATACTTCACATATGTAATCCTTGTGACAAGACCTCCCTTTGGATACCAACAACTTTGACCCTTTGACCTTGGAGTTTGACCTACTTTTGAAAAACTTTAACCTTGGCCATAACTTTTGAACCGTTGGTGCTAAGGCTTTCATACTTCACATATGTAATCCTTGTGACAAGACCTTTCTTTGGATACCAACAACTTTGACCCTTTGACCTTGACCTTGGAGTTTGACCTACTTTTGGAAAACTTTAACCTTGGCCATGACTTTTGAACGAATGGTGCTTCAGCTTTCATATTTCACCAGTATATTTCTTGTGAGAAGGCCTTTCCTTAGGTACCATTAATTTTGACCATTTGACCTTGATTTAACCTTTTCCATATCTATTCAATGATTGCTGCTTGGGCTCTCATATTTCACAGGCATTTTCCTCAAGACAAAGACCTTACTTTGGGTACCAGCATATTTGGTTTGCATTTGAGAAAGTTTAACCTTTGCTATAAGTTGCCATACGGGAGCATCAGTGTTTCACAAACACATCTTCTTTATTATGAAATTGAATCCTGTACAACAATACAGACTGATTAAATGAAAAAAAATATCATATACTTAACAGTAAATACACCGATTCTGCGCTGTGCGAGAAAGATGACGTCACAATACCCCATATCAACGACCGGTCCGAAAACCCATATCACTGTCAGATCATATTAACTCCACTTTTTTGAAATATACATGTGATATAAATCACCCCTTCCAATTTCGTTGACTTGATTATTTTTAAAATGACCAAAAATGGAATCTTTTAGACTAAAAAAAAGTCAAAAGGCACGAAACATCCTGAAAAGTCTTTAAGTAGACTCACTTGTTAAACATTTTAATGCATGATAAATAGAAACCTACATACATAAATCCATATCATATGTCAAATCAGCCTTAGGGACCCATATATATATATATATATATATATATATATATATATATATATATATATATATATATATATATATATATATATATATATATATATATATATATATATATCAGCCCTCAGCCATTCGGTCCTCGAGCTGATATGGGATCACTCAGACGTATATGACATATTATATGGAATTTAGTATGTTTTATTCTCTATGTATTTAATGATCAATAAAAGAAGAAGGCACATGTACAGTTAAGGCTTTATTGTGCACTAAACAATTAATGTTTTCAAAAAGTTATGGAATTAACTTAAATATGAGTTGAGTATATGAATGTGATAAATCATGAAAGAATACGGCAAGAGGGGGGACCATTCTGAAAATATGACGTCATTAATTTGGTGCATTTCAAAGTTTTTAACAGAAAAAGCCTCAAAATGACTCATTTCTGGGTTATTTCCTTAAGAAAATAGTGTCCACAGCCGTTGCCCATTACAACTTTCAGACATGTCGTGTAAAATCTTTTGACAAATCATATTTCTGAAAATATTTGTGGGCGATCATGTGCTCTATATTATCTGAGAAAACATTCCACTGAAAATTGATGTCTTCTGCAACTGTTTAAGAAAATACTGAGAAAAGCACAAGTTCATGATCCACAATTAATCTTTAGAAGGCCATATGAGAAAAAGGATTTGTATGTTCGTACTACATGGAATTTCAACGATTCAGAAAGCACGAGTTTTAATTTCTTACATCACTTTCATATCTTAGAAACATACAAGACCAGATTTGTATTGAAACCGTACCTTGTTCTTTATTTGACAGTAAATTCTTTGCATCTGTTAGATTGTCTAACAAAGATTTAATTTTGTTATTTTTTATTCTAATCTATTTGATCTTATTACAAGACAAGAATTCGGTATCGTCAAATTCAAAATCTCAGAAAATCCTTTTTCTTAGTCAAGATACAATACTGAACGTTAAAAATGTCACTGAATATCCAATTTAATCCCTCTTACAATAACGCCAAACATATGATTAGGGGCACAGAACTATTTTCCTAAAAGGTGATTCAGAATGAATTAATTCAATAGATTTCTATCCAGAAAGTAGCGAAATAAATCGGTGGATTAAAATTGATCGCTTATATATATTTGAGAGATAAAACAGGCACCTTGCAAATAAAATTCATGGTAGTTATTCTTTTTTTTTTGAACATGCAGAAAAAAACCCCTGGATATTGGAATCAAAAATTCATTTTCGAATAACAGCCCATCGAATGAATAGTCGAATATTTGAATATTCGCTGACATCCCTTGTTTAAATATATGAAATAAGAAAAATTATACGAACTTAATAGTAGTATTTACTTTTCAGGAATTTCGAATGCACAAATACGTACACCAGTCCAGGAGGCACAGTCACAGTTCAGTTTGAGTATCTTGATGTTGAGGAAGACACCAGTAGCCCCGGTGCTTGCTTTGATTCTGTGGAGATTTTTGATGGTAAATACATTCATTAAAAACCAAACAAGAGTTCACCAGATTGAATCATAATATTGTGTAATATTTCAAAAATTCATATTTATATATTTGAAACTTTTTTTTCATCAGGAGATTCGACAAGTTCCAACTTAATAGTAAAACTTTGCGGAACCACTGCTCCTACACAGCCATATACTTCCACTGGTGAAAGCGTCACCATCAAGTTCACTAGTGATAAGGCCGAACCAAAAATCGGATTTTATGCAAATGTATCCCCTGTTGGTATGGCCTACTATTCTCTGTTTTATATTATACCAGTTTCCATTAGATTGTAATGTTGTATGCCTCAGTATTAAAATTTTCTTTTATACGTTGATGAATACTGTGACTTTAGAACTTGTTTGTTGTAAATAAACAAACACATAATAGTTTGATACATGTATACTTGATAGCAAATACAGGATATTTTATTTCATGGAAGCTATAGGATAACTGTAATTGTAGATGAAGAAACCACAACAGCAGCAACAACAACAACTGCGAAAACGACTCCAAAAACAAGAAGAGGGTGTTGCCGTAGAGGAAGATGTAAGGGGAAATGTAGACGGAACTGGAGGCGCACCCCATAACAAGAAAGATGGATGCTGACCCTCATTAATTGAATGTTAAAACATAAAAATGATAAAAGAACTGATTTCATCCCCCCATTCTTTTAAACACTTATTTTGTGAAATGAACTTAAATGCTTCATGTATTCTGTTCGTAAATTGATGATATATAATTATATATATTCAAAAAATATCATTACAATAAAGTTTCAGCAATATTGTTGCTCTATTGTTCTTCCGTCTTAGTCAATACAATCTCCTTTTATAAAGTTTGTTAGCTTGTTCTACAAGTAGTAACCATTAGTATTCTGAAATGACTAATCATCAGTCATGGTTGAAATAATAGCCATTGTATTTAGAACATAAGCCATCCCATTGAACTATCTATAAATCATCTTTCATATATTAGTCTCTTTTTTAAATTTACAATAAATCTGTATTATATAGGTCACATTTAAAATATTGTTTTAAGAAGTGAGAGCAATGTCTTATCAAACCGGTTTTGAATTAGTATCCATCATTTTAAAAGACAGCAATTCCTGAGCAGAGATCATCTTTGAGATAGTAATGATTGTTTCTTATTTGACATCGAATTCTGCCAATAAGTTATCTTTATACCCCCGCTTGAAAAGTTGGGGGGGGGGGGGTATATAGTGATGGGGGTGTCCGTCTGTCTATCTGTCCGTCCGTTACGCTTAGGGGTACCCATCTCTTATCCGCAACTTCTCTTATACCACCGAATGACATTTAATCGGACTTTCACAGAGACTTTTTTACATAGCGCCATTGTGACCTCCTTTTTTTACTTTTTGATCGAACACTTATTTCGGGTCTCCCACAGCAAAACATGGACTTTGCCTTTATAATCATACGGGAGGGGGTATCATTTCCTGAGCTCAGTGCTCACAGTACCTCTAGTTTAAATAGTAATTTTTAATGATAAGGGTTTCTTCTCATTGATTATATTTTATAAAGTAACCATTATTACAAGTTCTAACCGTAGGGTATTTGCTGAAAACTTATCGTTTTTAAAAAGGCAATAACAGTTCCAAAAGATTTTTATTGGTTATCTTTCAGATTTACCACTGCTTTAGGAGTAATGACAGTTCATTAAATATTTGAAACTGAAAATATTAATAGAAATCAAAACATGCTTAGAAAGACCATAAATTTTATAACATTTGTATAACATTCGTATAGGGTTTTACAAAGAGTAATCCACTGTGTAGAGATAAAAAAATACCCATATTTCATATCAAGTCCGTGATGGAGTCCATGAAAATGATCGGTGCAAGTTTGAAAAACAATGAAGGGCCTTGGAAGGAAATTTAAGAGTCGTTATTCTTCTTAATGTTCTGAGAATAATCTCTACGAAGAGACAGTAATCTCATGTATGACTAACAAAGTGTGTACATCTTGTGTTTCATTATAGATATTAAAACTGTTGTGAAAAGTCCTATTGAAATTGATCCATTTATTTTTATTATTTTTACCCTGTGTGTTTATGAGTTTCAAGATTTATCGAAAAGATTTATAGTCCATAAGAATATACTCTTCGAAACTTTTCGCAGTTGACCCTGCCTATCTCAGTTTTAACCCTCAATGAATTATTACCCCTTTTGCAATATCATCTTGTTGTCGCAACTCATCCAAAACAGTAAACTGCAGAGATACCAAACCTACATCAATGGCTTTGTTTAATTTTGTGCACTCTCTGACCTATTCAGTGCAAAAAGATTCATCATTGACTCCTTAAAGTAGTAATTGCCCCTGAACGTTTTCAATATTTACGTTGCATTAATATTTTTAAATGATTACTCGTAGAAACATGGGGACTATTGCATTGAAGTCATCAACTTTTGTCCTTAAAATTTATGCTAAGATCAAGGTCATTGAAAATAAATATGTATGAGAAACATATATATGTAGTATGTATCATTGCATTTATGCATTTTTAATATTTCCTTTTTAACCTATATTAAAATGTCCTTTCTTGATTCCTTTACCTTTTTTTTGAATTGCTCTTTCACCATTAACCTAGTTATCGCCACTCCTCTGGAACCGTAAACCGTAGAGGAACCAAACAGTGCCGATGTCTTTGATTACTTAAAGCAAAGCTACAATCTATTTAGTGAAAAATCTGACGACCCCTTATGTGAGTTATTGCCCTTTTAGTTTTCTGTGCTTATTATTTAACCCTGAAACTTTTAAATTGTAAATAACATGGGACCAACTGTTATGTGATCCTTGACCTTTGGACTGTATTTGCATTCTCTATCCAGAGTTGTCTACCGCTACGCTACTAACACCTCTGTCAACGCTCGTTGTACAAGATTCATGTACAAGTATTAAACGGTGAAAATTTGAAATTAAAATCGAAATTAACTTTTATAATTATTGATAAAAATGATAATTTATCATTGTCTTTAAATCTAACACCCTTCAAAACGTTTTTTTTCATAGTTTTTAGGGAACTATTTTGCGGAGTAAATATTAAAAATTTAATTAAAAAATCCTTTTAAGGGGTAATATATTAATATAAATCCAGTTTACCGATAAGAAATATAATTAAAAAAGATAATTAATTCATTTTTTCATCTTTATAAATTTTCCAAGAATCTTGTATAACAAGCGTTGACAGAGGTGCATGTGGGAGCGTAGCGCAACTCTGGATAGAGAATGTAACATTTGTTCAAGAGCAAAGGTTGATGTCACTAATTTGATTTTTTTATTTTTAAAGCGATTTTTTGTTTCATTTTTATGACATGTAACTGTAGAAAAAAGAATACGTTAAAAGGATATGATAAAATCTAATTAGAGGTGGAAAGAGCTCTGACTAATAGTTCGAGTACAATTAATCTACTAGTTTGATTTCGCTACATGCAATGTATTCTTTATTTCTTTTCTCTTTTCTTTCTTTCTTTTTTTAGGGGGGGGGGGTATAATCTGGGTTTTTTTTTTTAATTTTTGCTTATTCCTATAAATATTTTCTCATTTCTTTTAATTTTTTTTATTTGCCTGCATGTTGTTTGATGACATCGAGGATAACTACGGCTAAAAATGTAGCGGAATCTCACTATAATAGTTAAATATTACTATAAAAGCGGAATATACGTTTTCCCATCAACCTGTTTAGGAAACAAAGTAAATGCCAAAAAGTAATAATTTATCTATAAAATGTGTGCCTTTTCCCACTGCATGCTACAGTATACTATAAAATACATGTATGTAAAAATTATTAACAATATCGTTTACAAAACAGAGGAAGTGTAAATCCTATGTAAATTGCATGGTGACATGGTTTAGTCTTAAATATGAGAACATAACATCCATGAAATACAGCCTCAGGCCCTACTCAGTCTTAAACAGAAGAATAACTACACTGGTTATTTGACAGAAAAAAACGCTAATAACAAGCAAACAGGATTACATTCAACTCCGTTAAGGAAGGTAGGACGGTAGGTAAAAGTTTTTGTTAATCCCTGTGGGGTATTAGGCGAGACAACAATAAGAGATCAAAGTTAAGCTTGGGAATATATAGGAAAGATTTTTTTTAAATTCCCAGGAACAACAGAGCCATGATAAATCATATAAAGATCCACAATCCCCAGGTTATTTGTTCAAATTATTGGACCTCTGGGAAGAGTGTGGTCCAAATAAGTAACAAAATGTTTGTATTGGTATATATTGTAAAAATCCATTTTCTTATTAAAAACAGCTACATGTAGGTCATTATTGCTTATATAAATGCGCAAGCATTTACGGGGAACGCAGATTCATTTTTTTTTCAAATCATACCTCTGCGGATAGAGTTGCGCATCGAACACAGTTCCAGATAAAATATATTGAGAAAAATATTTTCAAATCTTCTGAAGAACAGGTTGGCAATGATAGGTTTTATTAATTATCAAGCATCATTAGGTAGTATTTTCTTGATCCCTGCAGGGTGTGGCCACGATAAGAGGATCAAAGTTAATACTGGAATATAAAGAAACAAACTTCTCCAGTGGAGCAGGGTCATGAATAATATGCAGGGATACATAAGAAACTGATTCATGTTCGTTCGAATCAATGATCTAGGTGTTAGAGTGGAGCCGAAAAAGGGGATCAAAATTCTTCATGAGAATTTATAGGGAAAAAAAACCTTTATACAAATCCTATTTCAAGAACCACAAAAAATATATCTATTTGCAAATTATGACTGTACTCAGCACTCAAGTCCACTAAGAGTTGTAAACAAGATAAAACACGTTTTAACATAAGTTTTAACAGGATAAATATGGTCGGAATCTTATTATTATAAATTTTCTTTATAACTTTTTTTCAAAGGTTTAACACTACACAGTTAAAAACAATTATTGGGACATATGATTTACAAGAGGATCCTGTCCGATACATTGTACTGAAATTATAATTATATATCGACGGATTTCAGAAAGGTGGCTCCCATCAGCCACGTACCTCCGATCACTTGACTCTACAGTAATTTAGTGTTTCGGGGGTGTGAAACGAGGTATATTTATATAATTAATTTCATAATGAAGAAATAATTTTCTTCCTACTGATCAGTATACAAACAATTTTGAGAAACAATATTTCTGCACAAAATCCAATTATCGCAAATAAAAGTTGTGTAAGTAGTTTTCTTTCCTTTTATGGTATTAAGGGGGCAGAATTGTAGGCAACTTTTTTATGAATTTATGACAAAGAATGGACAATTCTACACTATTATCTAATTACGCAATTAAATATCCAAATATCTTCTTTTTTAAGATTTTTTTTTATCTCTAACTAACAAATTAGCGTCCTAAAAATGGTCATGATATAGCATTTTGGGATCAAAGAAGCTTTGTAACCCCTCTCCCCCTCCCCCCGAAAATAATATACCATACCACGTATCAATCGCTTTTTCTTTCACATATTCAAAGATATAATCCACGTGTAAAGTTAATTTGTCAACAAAAATTAAAAAAAAAAAAAAACTTAAATGTGTAAATTGTTTACAGTATCCAAATTTTCTTTCTTTGATTTCCACCTTTAACATCTTTAAAAATAAAATATTGGAATACACATTAAATGACCAATGTA